GCAATACCCCGTCTCTACAAACTCAAAACGCTAGCTGGGCACAGTGGCACACACCTGTAGTCCTAGCTACTGGGGAGGTTAAGGCAAGAGGATCTCTTGAGCCCAGGAGAGCAAGGCTGCGGTGAGCTATGATTGTGCCACTGTACTCCAGCCTGGGAAAAAGAGTGAGACCTTGCTTCTAAAAAATCACTTGCTTTTAAAAGTGGAACTACCGTATGTTTCAGCAATCGCAATTCTAGGTATATATGAAAGCAAGAGTCAGTATGTTGAAGGCACGTCTGCTCTCCCATGTCCACTCCAGCTCCTGCGACAGAACCACAGTCAGCCACCCTGTGAGGTAGTCCTGGGTCCCTTTCTGCTCTGGAAGCCATCACTTCTGGGTACCAAAGACACTTCTGTGTACAATAGTGTACCCACCACCGACAGCAGTACTCCATAAGCAAAGGGAGGCAGAGAGAACAGAGAAGCAAGCCCAGCCCAGCAACAAGCAGCCAGGCAGGAGATACTCCGTGCGCTGGGTTTCAAAGGACAGGAAAATAGAAGTTTTGTCGACCAAAAAAGAAAAACTGAGAAGAAGAGGTGAGGCAAAGGGACTAGCACAGATGAAAGCATGGGGATTTCCAACACGGCGTGTGCAGGGAGTTCTAGGGAGTCTGGAGTAAATAGAGCGGCGGGCAGCGACGCTGTCCAGGCAGGGTCACAGGCTGGGGTCTCCAGAGGGAAGTGTGAGAGACAGCCAGGAGTAGAAGGGGTTTACTAGGGAACGGCACCTGTGAGAGAACAAGAGAAGACGCCTGATTGGGCACAGGAGCAAGTCACATTGCAGGCACGCCGCCCGGGAAGCCAAGTGTCTCAGCACATTCTCTGCTTCTATAACAACATCCCTGAAACCGGGTAATTTATCAAAAGCAGAAAATTATTTCTCACAGTTCTGGAGGCTGGGAAATCCAAAGCCAAGTGCCAGCTGGTGAGGAACTGGTCTCTCTGCTTCTGAGGCAGCATCTTGTGTCTGCACGCTCTGGGGGCGGCAGGGAAAGAACACCGCACCTTGACACGGCACAAGGCGAAAGAGGAGGCCAGCCACACGCCGCATGAAGCCTCTTTTATAAGGGGTCTTAATCCCATCCACGTGGGGGGAGCCTCATGGCTTGATCACCGCTTAAAGGCCCCGCCTCTTAATACTCTCACGTTGGCTATGAAGTTTCAACGTGTGGCTTTTGGAATGGACACGTTCACAGCATAGCACCAACCCAGCAGGGAGACTCAGAATCGGGGATGACCATCGGAGCTGTCCCATATCAGAGGGGAAAGAACACTTTCCCCTCCTCGTCCTGAGAGAACGCAGGTGAAAATGGACGGTCTTCATCCCCCGCCTCAATCACCAGGTGTGCGCTATCCAGGACAAGGCATTGCCCGGGGGAGGAGGCTCTGTAGCTCAGGGAAACCCTAAGGGAGCTGACAGCTGAAGGCTGTTTCTGACCACACTCCTCACAGCTGGGGAGCACGTCTGTCCTTGAAGGGAGAGCCGTCCTTGAAGGTCACCTCTGTGTCCACAGACATGTGTGAGCAATGTCACCAAGGGTCTCCTATGGCTACTGAAGGAGCTTGGATTTTATGCAGTAGGCAGTAAAGAGCCCATGAAGTCTCAGGCATGGAAATGACACCCCCAGCTTGGTGTGAGGTGGCATTCTGAACACTGGATGTGAGACAGGGATGAAGAGTGAAGTTAGGGAGACCAGTCAGGAGACTGCCAGCTTTACCAAAGTGAGGGGATGGACTTCCACAGGCAGTAACAGAAGTGTAAAGGTGTGGAAGGATCACAGAGGAATTTAGGAGGTAAAACTTGCAGGGGGGCAAGCCAAGACTGTGTGCTTTCGGAAGGTAAATCAAAGTATCAAACATTCAAAAGCAGAACCTCTCAGTATCTCGCCTGCCCCTTACCAGCCAGCAGGCTTCTGATGAGACATTCTGTGTTCACCAGTTTTCCTGGTATCTGGGTCGATGTTTCATACATAGCAAATGCCTGATAAATACCTGTTGAATGAACGGGTGGATGAGTAAGAGGACTGAGGCCACAGTCAACTGACACAAGACGTGGCTGCGACTTCCTGACTGTAAGCCTGCGGAAGCCACATCAAACTGTAGTCTCTGCACTCACACAAACACCCAGGGTGAAATGCGGAGTGGGTGAAAGGGCTGCCAGGGTAGCGCAACCTAGCTTTGCTTCCACAGAAGCTCAGGAGTGAAAGCACATCCCCCGTCGTGCTGCGGAGTCCGTGGAGGAAAACCACCTGCCATTATTGCAGGTGGGGCCCAGGTCTGGCTTGCCCATTCCAAGGCCACAGGACACGCTTCTTGGCCTGCAATTCCTCCACCATCAGGCCTGCCACCAACTTAGCTATGGGCCAAAAACATCTTTTAGCCTAAGAATATCCACCCCCCATCTCTCTCTCTCTCTCTCTCTCTCTCTCTCTCTCACACACACACACACACACACACACACACACACACTCCAGATCTCAGCTCTTAACTAGAAGTGCATATTTTGAGTAACCCCAGCAGTGGTAGCTAAGATGTTACTGGACTGAGAAAAAAAATCAAAACTCCATCCTACTTAAACCATATTAAGTACTCACTGATGTTTAATTGGCTTTCTAATTGGCTTGCCTGCAGAAACAATGCACATATGCAGAGCATTAACAGTAAGAAGTGTCTGCTAAGTGCCTATTTTTGTAGATGATGTTGTGAGCGACACTCAAGACACTTAGCAGCTCCACCAGACCTGGAAACAGGGACCGGAACTGACTCCCGCCCGCTAGAGCAGGAGACTGACTTACCACTGATTATTCATTACACGGCTTGTATTTTTTCATGTGTATGTTTTAGTTTCTGCTGTTTTTTGTTTTGTTTTGAGATGGAGTCTCACTCTGTCGCCCAGGCTGGAGTGCAGTGGTGTGATCTCGGCTCACTGCCATCTCTACCTCCCAGGTTCAAGTGATTCTCCTGCCTCAGCCTCCCAAGTAACTGGCACCAGCAGGCCCAGCTAATTTTTGTATTTTCAGTAGAGACAGGATTTCACCATGTTGGCCAGGATGGTCTTGATCTCTTGACCTCGTGATCTGCCCATCTCGGCTTCCCAAAGTGCGGGATTACCGGCATAAGTCACCACACTTAGCGTATTAGATTTTATTTATTTTTATTTTTTTATTTTCGTTTTCTTGATTTTTTCTTATTTTTTTTTAATTTTTGCTTGCATATTAGTTTTTCAAAAGCACACTGTCAACAGTAAAATAATAATTTTAAAAAAGGCTGGGCACAGTGGCTCACACCTGTAATCCTAGGACTTTGGGAGGCCAAGGCGAGTGGATCACCTGAGGTTAGGAGTTCAACACCAGCCTAGCCAACATGGTGAAACCCTGTCTCTACTAAAAATACAAAAACTGGCCAGGAGTGGTGGTGGGTGCCTGTAATCTCAGTGACTTGGGAGGCTGAACCAGATGAGTCGCTTGAACCCAGGAAGCAGAGATTGCAGTGAACAGAGATTGTGCCACTCTTGCCTGGGCAACAGAGGGAGACTTCGTCTCAATCAATCAATTGATAAAATTCGTCTGCACCCTTCCACCTCTCACGTCCACTGTGACATCACAGCAGCCACTGGCGACAGTGGGGAAGCGAATCCTTTCAGATGTCCATCTTTCCTCCACAGATTTTCTGGCCCAGTGGCTTGAGCCTGTCTGTGTCTCCACGTGAGATCATAGAATGTACGAGGTCAAATGACCTAGACATGGCAACAAGGCTCTGTGTTAACTTTGTGGTTCACAGTTCAGAGCAACACAACAGTGACCCAAATAGAGCAAGCGATGCTGCTGGAGCTGCTTCTGCCAGGTTGCCAACGTGGCACCGCCAACTGCCCCCTGCCTCCTGATGCAAATCCTCATGACTAGAGCACCGCCTCTGTCCCAGCAGCAGACCTGGGCTGGATCATACCACAAATTCTTTTTTTTTTTTTGAGACAGAATTTCGCTCTTGTCACCCAGGCTGGAGTGCAATGGCGCAATCTCGGCTCACCGCAACCTCCGCCTCCTGGGTTCAGGCAATTCTCCTGCCTCAGCCTCCTGAGTAGCTGGGATTACAGGCACGCGCCACCATGCCCAGCTAATTTTTTGCATTTTTAGTAGAGACGGGGTTTCACCATGTTGACCAGGATGGTCTCGATCTCTTGACCTCGTGATCCACCTGCCTCGGCTTCCCAAAGTGCTGGGATTACAGGCTTGAGCCACCGCACCTGGCTCTCATACCACAAATTCTACATTCACTTTGACGGTTCAGCTGGAGCCCTCGCTGTTCCCATTCTGGTGTGTGTGGCTTCAGCTTTCATCTGGGTGTGTGCATTCAACGGGAACCAAGCAGCCACTGGCCTGTCGCGCATGAGTCAGAACCCTGCGATTTCGTGAAAACCTGGAGTGTGTGCGCGTTGATAGTTGGGAGAACCAGTTTTATGCACCAGCCACTCCAGGCGCCCGTGCCTTAGGCCTACCAAGTTTCCAAGGATTAGTAACATGCTTGGATCCTGAAAGAAAAAAAAAACGTATTGCTAGCTCCAAAATACGAGAAGTGCAAAGTTGAAATCCCCAAACGTTTCTTTCGATATATATGAAAACGGGCACATCGACTTGTCAACAGCGGCTCAAGTCTTCTAGACAGTCACCCAGAATCTGTTCACTGTGGCTGCAGGTGCAAGCGTGCCCGAGGGTCAGGGACTTGGAAGACCCTGGCTGGAGCTGCCCCCCACCCGCCAGTGCGGCACAAGGACTCATTGCACTGGGCCCCCCGACTGTTGCACGGCCCCCCTGCCCTGTCCCCTATCCCAGGACACAGCCCATCAGACCCTCCAACTGAGACAGCAGCAGGCAGAAACGAAAGCACAGACTGGGAAGGAGGTAAGAGGCGAAGGAAAAGGGGGCCCTGGAGAGAGGACCCTGGGGCACCCTGCCCTCCCCGACCCCGGCAGCTCCTCTCCGCACGGTCCCCAGCCTCACCTTCCCTAGGAAGTGCCTGCGGTAGGCCCTGGCTTCGCCCTTGCACTCCAGCTTGTAGCCAAACGTGTTGGGGCTGAGGTTGTCCTCTTCCTCCTCCTCACAGATGCTGCTGCCCAGCGATGTTGGGGTGCCCACGTTCTCCGGGTCCTCAATCCAGTAGCCCCCAAACTGAGGCAGGATGACCTGAGGGTATGGGCCTCCCTTCTCCACAACCTGAAGGCAGAAGGAGGCCTTGCCCTGCAGCCGGCCTTTGGGACCGCAGGGGAGAGGGGGGCCAGTGGCGGTGTCCCCACTACCGCCGTGCTGCTCCCAGGAGAGGGCCTGGTACCCACTGGTACCTGAGGCCAAAAGCAGTAACATGAACCCCTTTTCTAAGCCCCACAGCCTCTCCAGCTTCCTTCACCAACCCTGTAGCCCCAGGGTGGCAAGGCCGAGATAAGCACCCCCAACTTCCACACGGAAAAGCTGCGGTTACAAAGACAAAGACAGGAAGAAAGGTCCCAAGCCCCAGGTTCTCTCCCCTGTGGGGCTGGGCATGGCCCATCGCCATCATTTCCCCAGGGACGGGACCCAGCGCAGGCTGCAGAGCAGGTGGGAGTGAGGGGCGGGCGCCTACCTCGTCGATGCTGGGGTACGGGATGTAGTCATCCTGCAAGACAAACCAGGGGATGCCACCGTGAGTCCCGGCAGTGCCCATGAAGTCTGAGCGCTGTTTCCAGGCCTAGCAAGGGGGATCTGCCGTGGGGGCTTAGCAGGCTACGTGGGCTTTGAGGGAGGCACAGTCGGTGGAAGAACAGCTCAGAATCAGCTCTGGGATCTGACATCCACCATGTTCTTCTCGAAACTGACAGAACCCGAACATCAACCCTGCCAGCTGATGATGCAATAGACGAAGGCGCTGAACTTCTCACCGCCCGTGATACCAGCCCCTCATCCTAGAATGCCAATTCCGGAAAACGACCCCTGGTCTCACCCAGCACCTGTCTCTAGGCAAGGGTTCTGACCTCCAAGGGATAAGAGGCACCCCTGGGCTTGGAAATGGAACCCGAAGCTGAGGGCCGACTGCCCCCTGGAACCCAGGACACAGCCTGACAGCCTCACACTGTACTGGACAGGGAAGACCCAGGCCACACGGCCAAGCCTGAGCTCCCACCCAGGCCTCCCCCAGCCTGCTCAGAAGCTGCCCTAAGGCATGGATCCAGGACCCCTCTGCTGCCCATCCTGCACTAGGCTAACAAGGGCACAGTCACTCAGGGGCCGTGGCCAAGGTCAGAGTCAGAGGGTGTGAGATGAAAGACCCCAGCACCTGGCAGCTCCTCCTGCCTTCCTCTCGCCCTGGCCCCTCACCAGGGCCCTCTGGCCGCCCCCTCACCCACCCAGCCCACCTTGTTCTTCTGGGGTCCTGGCTTCTGCTCTTCAAGCTTGATCCCCTATAGAAACAAGGAAAACAGAATCCACAGAAAAGCAGAGGTCAGAAGAAAAAGCCGGAGGAAGAGCACCTGGCCTTGCAGGGGTTAGTAACAGGAGCAGAGCCACAGCTGGCCCGTGCTGGGCTGGCACACCCCACACCTGGCCGCTGTCAGCCTCACAGCAGCCTCAGGTAAGGCGGCAGGGCCGCTGGGCTGACGGCACAGACTTGAGCCAGATCACCAGGGTTCAAATCCCAACACTGCCTCCTATCAGCCTGATGACCTTGGCAAGCCACAGAAACTTTTCTGTGACTCAGTGTTCTCATTCGTGAAATGGGAATGATGGTGGTGTCCACTATGGTAGTGAGGGTTCAGTCATAACAGTGGGCTTAGCACTTGGAACACTGATTGGTGTATAATAAATGCTGTGGGTCGTTATTATCATGGAGGCAGTATTGTCATGCGAAGCTTAAACGTCTGTCTTAGGGTCACAGAGCCAGTAAGGGAAGAGAAACATGGAAACCCACGTCTGCTGATGTCAGATCGCGCACCCTAGGCCCCGTGCCAACAGGCCCCAGGGGACAGGCAGGAGCCCTGGTGCTGGCCGTCACTCTGCTGTGAGCTTCCTATTTGTGACCCTCGACAAAGCGTAGCCTCTTGGAGCCCCCAGTGTCACTTGTAAAATGAGGCTGACAACACTCACTCACCTTCCATCTGGCTGATGCAGGGATCACTGCAAGGATCAGATATGATGCCTGGGATGGACTAAGGGCGTTCATCTACAGAAAGAATTCACTTCTGGGGAGCAGTGCCCAGTCCAACTTTTAATTTTAATTTTAATTTTTGAGATGGAGTCTCTCTCTGTTGCCCAGGCTGGAGTGCAGTGGCATGGTCTCCACTCACTATAGCCTCCAACTCCCAGGTTCAAGTGATTGTCCTGCCTCAGCCTCCCGAGCAGCTGGGATTACAGGCATGTGCCACCACGCCCGGCTAATTTTAGTAGAGATAGGGTTTGGCAATATTGGGCTGGCTAGTCTTGAACTCCTGACCTCAGGTGATCCACCCACCTCGGCTTCCCAAAGTGCTGGGATTACATGCATGAGCCATCTTACCCAGCCTCTTCCTTTTTTTTTTTTGAGAAAGAGCTTCGCTCTTTTTGCCCAGGCTGGAGTTCAGCGGCTGGATCTTGGCTCACTGCAACCGCCACCTTTCAGTTCAAGTGATCCTCCTGTCAGCCTCCTGAGTAGCTGGGATTACAGGACTGTACCACCACACCCAGCTAATCTGTATTTTTAGTAGAGACAGGGTTTCGCCATGTTGCCCAGGCTGGTCTTGAACTCCTGACCTCAGGTGATCCACCCACCTCAGCTTCACAAAGTGCTGGGATTACAGGCATCAGCCACTGCGCCCGGCCCCTGTCCAGCAGTTCTATCACTGGGTCTGACTTAACCACGCTGTGCAGGAGGGGAACACGTGGTGTTTCCAAGACTGACTGAGAAAATCAGGTGACAGTATGAGGCAGTGCACAAACCAGAAGAAACAGTTCCCCTCGGAAGCGGGGAGTCCAGAAGCAGCCTCTGCCTGGTCGTAACACCAGTGCACGGGGATCTTAACCTCCCCAGCCAGCCCTCTCTGGGTCTCCCTTGAAACTCACAGCACCTTTCCACCAGTGAGGACACTGAGCCCCAGGCGGAGACTGTTTGCCTAAGGCCGCACAGCCAGCACGTGGCGGGGCCTAGATTTGAAGCCAGGTCACCGGCTCACCAAGTACATGGCGTGCCACACACGCTGTGGACAGCAGGGCTCCTGTGAACTGGGTGGATTCGGATGCAGCCTCCCCGGACTGCCCTGACCTGAGTCACCCTGCAGCATTGTTCGGGAGGGTGTGGGAGGGCCCTTCCCACTGGACAAGCACTCCTCTCTCTCACACACAAAAAGCCACTGTGTGGCCCTACAGACCCTATGCCGGGTGGCACACTGGGCGGACGGCAGGTGGGGACAGCAATGCCGGGAGTGTGTTTTGTTTGGCTGCATTAATCATCCCTGGCTGGGAACAGCCCCTAGGGCAGGAGAGCAAAACCTCCTTCCGTCCCCTCTGCCACGCCACTCCCTCCCCTACCGCGCAGCCACTGCCCAGTACTGGGCCCTCTCTCCTCCATGCACTAGCTTTGCAACAGGTATTCTCTTTTTCTATTTATTTATTTAGAGATGGAGTTTTGCTCAGTCACCCAGGCTGGAGGGCAGTGCCACAATCTTGGCTCACTACAACCTCCGCCTCCTGGGTTCAAGCGATTCTCCTGCCTCAGCCTCCTGAGTAGCTGGGATTCCAGGCACCTGCCACCACCCCTGGCTAATTTTTCTATTTTTAGTAGAGGCAGGGTTTCACCATGTGAAAGCAACAGCGCAGGAGCACAGACTCATGTGAGACCTGAGTTAGACGAAGACCTAATCACAGGATTATAGGATGCTTTCCCTGGCCCTGCATCCCAATGCCACATCAATAGGACTCCTGCCTAATGACAGGAATAAAATGGAAAGAATGGCAAGGCTCTAACGCTATTTATAAAGGAATATGAAGAGAAACCCAAAGACAATGGGGAAATACAAACAAGGACAGTAGAGGAAATTTTAACCACTGATATCTACAGCTACAGCAAACAGTAAACACAGCCTAACTTCTGACCATAAGAACACTTCCCGATAAAAGCCTATTTACCATAGTTCCCTTTACCCATACATGATATCTAGCATTCAACAAAAATTACAAGGCATGCTAAAAGGTAAAACACACAGTCTGAAGAGACAAAGCAAGTATCAGAACCAGAATCAGATATGACAGAGATTTTGGAATTACCAGATTGAGAATTTAAAATAACTGTGATTAATATGCAAAGGGATCTCACAGAAAAAGTGTACCATATGTAAGATGATTAATGTAAGCAGAGACAGAAACTTTAAGAATCAAAAGGAAATGCTAGAAATTCAAAACACTGTAACAAAAACAGAGAATACCTTTGATGGGTATATAGAATGTATGTTTGTCCCCCCATGAAATTCATGTGTTGAAATCTAATCTCTAATGTGATGGTATTTGGAGGTGGGGCCTTGGGGAAATGATTAGGTCATGAGAGCAGAGCTCCCATGGAAGGGATTAGTGCTTTACAAAATGAGCCCCAGAAAGCTCCTTTGTCCTTTGCACCATGTACAGATGCAATGGGAAAACAGCCACCTATGACTCAGGAAGTGGGCTCTCATTAGATACCGGATCTATTGGTAGCACCTTGATATTGGACTTCCCAGCCTCCAGGACAGTGAGAAATAAATTTCTCCTGTTTATAAGTCACCCAGTCCATGTATTCTGTGATAGCAGCCCAAATGGACTAAGACAATGGGCTCATCAGTATACTGGATATGCCTGAGGAAAAATAATCTGTAACTGAAGATATTCCTATAGAGCTTGAAGACATATCAGTATAAACTTCCCAAACTGAAAAGCAAATAGGAAAAAAAAAAATCCAAAAACCATGAGAGAATATCCCAAAACTGTGGGACAATTATTAACATATACATAATGGTAATACCAGAAGTAGAAGAGAGAGAAAGAGTGACAGAATAAATATTTGAAGTCATAGTGTCTGAGAATTTTCCAAAATTAAAAACGGACATCAAATCACAGATCGAGGAAACTCAGAGAATAACAAAATGGGATAAATACCAAATAATCTACATGTAGAAATATGATACATTTCAGAACATGAAGGAAAAGATAAAAACTTGAAAGAAGGCAAGAGATGAAAAACCAACATGACCTAAAGAGGAAAACAAATAAGGATAATCTTGGATGCTTGTCAAAGGGCACAAAATTTCAGTTAGACAGAGGAGACAGGCTCCTTCTGAGACAGGCTCATTCACCATTCACCACTCTTTGGATATGGGGTTTGGCGATTAACCCTAGAGGATGACATCATAATTACAAAGACTTGCTTGTGATAGACTGGGATGAGGTACAGGTGGAAGACGAAATGTTAGGTTATATGTCAGCTGTAGCATGATAATGTTATGAGAATGGTGGTAATTATAAGACTTTTGGAGTTTTAAGACTTTTATTAACTTTCTTGGAAGACTGGAAGAGGAAGAACAGTCCCAGGTTAGCCTCCCATCAGCTCAGGGGACGTTTAGAAAACCAGAAACCTTCCATGGCAACACTTAATGAGACATGAATCTTCTGCGGCCATTGGCACCCAGTGTAGAAGTCACCCCTAGGACTTCCTTGTAGGGCAGGAGAGCTACTAGACAGGTTCCATGTGGGGCTTGGGCAGGTCTCCTCTGTTAAACTCTGGGCCCGGGTAGGGAAGGATGAGACCCTGAGTTCTGGAATGGGGATGTTTCAGTGGATAGGCATGAGAATGCGGAATCCCTGAACTCCCCTGAATTCACTTGCCAGGACAGAAGCCCTTTCCTCGCTGGAGGAAAGCAATCTCCTTTTGCCTGAACACCACACACATATCTGACATGAGGCAGAAGTGCCACGCACGATGATTCCTGTCCTCTCAAGAACATTTTACATTTCCCTCAGTACCTCCAGTTAAAGTCAGCTCTCAGCATAGTCTGAGAGAAGAAATCACATCTATGAATCAAGAGGAAAGAATTCACTCACTGAAAAGAATTCCCCTCCCTGAAAAGAATTCTCCTCCCCGATTGTGGTAGATAGAAGAATGAGCCCCAAAGATATCCAACCTAAATCCTGGAATCTACTTTATATGGTAAAGGAGACTTTAAAGTTTGAGATCTTGAGATGGGGACGTCACTCAAATCATGTACACTGTTACCCATTAAGTAATTTCTCATCACCCACCCCCCTCCCACCCACTCCTATTTCTGATACCTGCATAGAACGCATAGTGGTCAAGTCAGGGTTTTCAGGGTTTCCATCACTCAAATCATGTGCACTGTACCCATGAAGTAATTTGTTCTCATCTCCACCCCCTTACTCACATTTCTGAGTTTCCATTGCCTATCCTTCCACTCTGCATCGTTGTGTACACGGTATTGTGTCTGTTTCTCTGCTGAGATTTTCATTCATTGAAAACATGTTCAATTTTTTACCTAATTGGGGTAATTATAAAAGCAGCTTAAAATTTTTCTCTGTTAGTGTCAACATCTGGTTCATTTCAGAGCTGGACTTGCGGGATATTCTTTTCTTTGGCGAATGCATTTTCTTGATTCTTCGTAGATTGGGTAATTCTGGACTATGCCCTGGACTATGAAGTTCTGCTGGAGATTCTAGAGGAGATTATTGGTCCTGAGTCATTTCCCATGTGTTGATAGGGAATTCTCTTGGCTGGGCTTCAACTGCAAACTTGCTTCTTGGGTGGCAGCACATGTCTCAGTTCAAATATTTTTACTTTTGCTGAATTCATGTTTTTCTATTATATATAATATCACATACACTGTATATGTAGTTAAACTTATATTTTATTGTGTTGAGACAATTATCTACTAGGAAAAAATTAGAACATATGCAACAATAAGCTCTAAATATATTAAATATTTGACTTAAAATGTAAAAATACTAGAAAAACATCAGACATATACAGCATTTAGATGAAAAGGCTCTTTTTTCTAAGAATGACATAAGAAGAAAACGTTCATAAAATACAAAACTTAATTTGGGCAGCAGGTACTCTAAACAATGTTAAAGACAAATGGGAAATTTGGAAATATGTTAGCAACGTATAAGGTGAAGTATTACCATTTTAAAACAGAAAGGGTTTCTACCAATCATTTACAAGAAGATAAACCACCACCAAATGGGCAAAAAGGAAAGAAAAAAGAACAAGAAATTTGCAAAGGAGAAATGCAAGCAATAAATAAATACACTTATGTGCTGTATAATGATGTTTGAGTCAACAAAGCCTGCGTACATGGCAGTGGTCAGAGCAGTAGGCTATTGACAGGCTATTTCACATAGCCCAGGTGTTTAGTGGGCCATGCCACCTAGGTCTGTGCAAGTGTAAGTGATGCTCACAGACCACAATCACCTAACAATGTGTTTCTCAGAATGTATCCCTGTCGTTAAGTGACACATGACTGTGCATAATTATTCAACCACACACATACATGTAGAAATTCAAATTTAAAATAATACAATATTTCATCTAATTTTCAAATATAAAAAGATACATATAGCCGGGCGCAGTGGCTCAAGCCTGTAATCCCAGCACTTTGGGAGGCCGAGGCGGGTGGATCACGAGGTCGAGAGATCGAGACCATCCTGGTCAACATGGTGAAACCCCGTCTCTACTAAAAGTGCAAAAAATTAGCTGGGCATGGTTGCACGTGCCTGTAATCCCAGCTACTCAGGAGGCTGAGGCAGGAGAATTGCCTGAGCCCAGGAGGTGGAGGTTGCGGTGAGCCGAGATCGCGCCATTGCACTCCAGCCTGGGTAACAAGAGCGAAACTCCGTCTCAAAAAAAAAAAAAAAAAAGATACATATATAACATCCAATGAAGTCAAAGATGTGACGTAACAAGCATTTCCATACCCTGCTCTTTTGGATGTAAAATGGAGTACATTTATTTTGGCAAATACAAAGACAGACTACTTACCCAACTTTACATTTTGTGTTTCCTTTAGTGCACATGTACTTATACATAAACAAACAAATTGCCTTCATGAATTTAGCCGCTGGAAGTAATTTTAGATATTCTGATAGATACATGGTTACTAATCTCAGTATGACATAATTTCAGATATCGGATAGATATATAATTACTAATCTAAGTATTATTAGCAGTTGCAAAAACAGGAACTAAATTACATCAATAGAGGTTTTGTTAAATAGATTATAATTTTACATGAAATGGAATGTTTTACAGCCTTTAAAATGGATAAGGTAGATTAGTAGGCTCAAATGTAAGAATTATACTATGTCATATAGACGGGGAAAGTAAAATTACAAAATATTATGTATTTTTTTTTTTTTTTTTTGAGACGGAGTTTCACTCTTGTTACCCAGGCTGGAGTGCAATGGTGCGATCTCGGCTCACCGCAACCTCCGCCTCCCGGGTTCAGGCAATTCTCCTGCCTCAGCCTCCTGAGTAGCTGGGATTACAGGCACACGCCACCATGCCCAGCTAATTGTTTTTATATTTTTAGTAGAGACGGGGTTTCACCATGTTGACCAGGATGGTCTCGATCTCCTGACCTCGTGATCCACCCGCCTCGGCCTCCCAAAGTGCTGGGATTACAGGCTTGAGCCACCGCGCCCGGCACAAAATATTATGTATTGAATATATGTGTGGGAGTGTGTGTTTGTGTGTGTTCGCTTGTGTGGAAAGCTAAACGTGAAATGAGGTAGTTACTGTTAAAGATGAGATTTTTGTGGGGATGGCGCAGAAGGGAGGTGATGACAATCTGTGCCGTTTGAAAATTTACAACATGATGTATTATTATAAGATAATTTTTAAGTAGCAAGGAGATTTTCAGTTTGGAATATAAAAAGGAAGAAAAATTCCCAAAAAAACAGAGTCCCCTAAATTGTTAAAGAAACCCTGTGATCCTGGAGGGGGTGAACACAGAGCTGGGAATCAGGCCTTGGCCATTCTCTGTGATGCTGGGCCCAGTTGCTCCATTCCACCCGAGCCACAAGGAGGCCAAGACAAAAATCTGTCCTTGAGGCTTGAAGTCAATGGCAGCTGGAAGACATGCCAGAGGTGCCGGGACCTTTGGAGATAAACAGCAGGCTCTGCTTGGCTGCAGGTGTTAAATGCAGCAGCAGAAGTGACGGTGGAAGAGGTGGCAGCTCTCTCAAGGTAAACAGATACAGTCCTTCCATTCATTCAAACTGACAGACTCAGAGAACATTCACGGTGGAAGAACCTTAATATTACCTAGTGCTTTTGGTCAAGGACAGACCCAGAGGAAGTAATCAACCAACTCAAGGTGGAGAGCATCGTGAGTGAGAGAAGTGAGATGAGAACCACATCGCAGGTCTCCCCGGCAGCATTCTTGACCCTTGAAGGAGACTCACTCTTTGTGTCCTGAAGTTTGTCTGATGACACAGTAAGACACAGAAAAAGACTTCTTCTCCCGATGTCTGTGACACTGTCAGCCAGCATGACTCAAAAGTAGGGAGCGTGAGTTGGGCAGTTAGCCACAAATTTTGATGACATTTTAGATATGTAGCTGGAGAAAATACCCAGGATTCTTTTCTTACGTGTTCTAACCTAGTCAACCTTCTTCCTGACATGCTAGGAGCACCTCTGTTTAGAGAAAGAGAAAACGAGTCCTCTCTGTACTGACTTTTCATACCTTCAGCGTAACTTAAAACATCAATCACTTCCTCCTTCACAGAGAAGAGGGACTATGATCATGGCGTCAGAGCCACTGGAATCGGTTATTTCTGGACAGCGTAGACTGGGAAGCCCGCACCTCCCAGGTCTGACCCACGAATTTCATTCCCCACTTTCTTCCTCTGATCTTCTGCTAGTCCCAAGGCATCTTACTCAGCTCCTCCATTCCTTCTCATTTCCCGTTCCGCGTGCCCCGTTTGGGCCTCTCTAATGCTGCCTTGCTTCCCTTTCTGCCCCTCCCCTTGCACTTCTGCCCCAGCTGTCCGGATTCCTCATCTCTCTTCACTTCCCACCTGCTCTCCTCCTCCAATCTTGCTTTGCTTCCCTCTTCCGTGTCTTTTCTCTCTATCTCTAGCTTACCCCATCGGTTCAATCCCTCACCCGCATAAAGTATCATGGAGAAGCCAAGTCACAGGTGCCACTGCGAGGAAGGTTTTAGGGAAATGAGCTGGCAAACAACAGTGGCGCGGCAGAGGTGCCAGGAGTGGGGAACGTGTCCTACCAGGGAGGCTGTAAAGAAGAGACAGCGAAATGCTGGCCGGTCTGACAGCGAGCAGGTGGAGAGAATGCTCTGGGTCAGAGCCACGCTCCCCTCGTGAGAAGGGAAATGTCGGGCGAGTCCTCACCATGTGACTTGCATTTACACTTGTGGATTATCGTGGCTAGGAGGCCTGGAGAGTAAGAGGGAGAGGACTGGGGACGTTTCACATCGAGTACTCTTGGAGATTTTGAAATACGTAAATAATGCTTAGACTAGAAATCCGTATCTTTTCAAAAAATTTGAAACACGTGGGGAAAAAAGATGAAGAAAATTCCTTTTTCTATCATAAGAGATATAATACATATTAATGGAGCTTGAACATTTAGAAGCAAGTCTATGAGCTGCACCCAGGTCTCGTGTGCTCCAGAATTACTAGAGGACACATCATCATCCAGCTTCCCCTCTGCCCCCTGGAGATGCTGTGGGATCTTTGTTTAATGGGAATAGAAAGAGCTACTTTTCTTGTTTTTGTTTTATTTTTGCTTACAGAGTTATGATGGGAGAAATAAAACAATCCTATTCTCCAGACCTAGAAATAAACAATCCTAATCGCTAGATGTTTTATAAACAGACCAAGCATGCCTGAACTTGAGGGAAGAAAATGACATCGGGGGTGGGAGGAGTTTTCTGGGGTGCTTCTGGGAACCCAGGCTCTCATTCCCTCTCCGACATGAGACTGTAAGCATTCACAGCTTCCCAGGTTTCCCCTCTAGCCAGAAAGGCGAGAACACAGTGCCTGAGGTTGTAATTTGTCTAAGGGGCTGGTTTGGCAGAACCTCTACACGCACTGCCTATAACTGGGCAGGGCTGCTTTAAGAAATGAAAACTATTCTTCCCTCCAAAAGTCCTTCTTATGCCCAGGAGACAGAAACAGGTCTGAACCATGTTCTTCCTAGTTTCTGGCTCTAGAAGGTTTTTCCTTTAGCACAAAAAGACGCAGGCAGAAAGACTCAATGGAGACCTCCTCAAGCCAGGGCCCGCCTCCCCACGAGCATCCGCCGGAGGGCGCTCTGCACATCAGGGTTTCTGAGGCTGTAGATGATTGGGTTCAGCATGGGGTTGATGACAGTGTTGAAAATCCCAACAGCTTTATCCTTGTCTGAAAGCTTGGTTGAACCTAGTCGCATATAGTTAAAAATACCTGAACCATAGAAAATGGTAACCACAGTGAGGTGGGAGCCACACGTGGAGAAGGCTTTTTTCCTGCCCTCTGCAGAGCGAATTCGCAGGACCGCAGCTGCCACGCGGATATAGGAGATGACGATGAGAGCCATGGGGGCACCCGCCATTATGAAACCCACAGCAAAGAGCAGCAGCTCATTGAGTCGGGTGCTGGAGCAGGAGAGCTGGAAGAGCTGTGGGAGGTCACAGTAGAAGTGATGGATCACATCGGGGCCACAGAAATTGAGCGTGGATATGGCCACGGTGTGGGTCAGTGCGTTGCTGAAAGCACAAACCCAGGACGCGGCCACCAGCATCCTCTGGACTGTGTGACTCATGCGGGTGCTGTAGGTGAGGGGCCGGCAGATGGCCAGGAATCGGTCATAGGCCATGGCGGTCAGCAGGAAGCAGTCCACTCCAACGAACAGATGGAAGAAGAAGAGCTGGGTAAGGCAGGCTCCGTAGGGAACTGCACGCGTGTGGGACAAGAGACGACTCAATACAGAAGGAACAGTGACAGTGATGCACCCGACATCCAGCACTGATAGGTTCCCCAGGAAGAAGTACATGGGTGTGTGGAGTTTGGGCTCCATCAAGACAGCTGCCAGGATGCTGAGGTTGCCCCCGACCGTGACCAGGTAGGCAAAGAGGAAGAGCAGAAAGACAACTGGTTGCAGCTCTGGTGGCTCCATGAGGCCCAGCAGGATGAACTCAGCAATGGCCGTTCCATTGGCCCCAGATTCTGGCTGCATGAGTTTCTGCAAAGAAACATCCAAGGAGGAAAAGAATCCATCCTGTCAATGAATTTATTCATTCAGAAAGAAGAAACAGCCCTCCTCTGCTTGCCCAGCCCTCTGCTGTGTTCCCTCTGCACAAGTTGGGAGTGTTCTGCTCCTTAGGCCACACTACACTTATTGAGTCTTTCACCACGTCTACCTGAATAAGTTTACTTTGTTTGCAGGTGTAAGAACAGGTGACATGACCACTCTGGATCTCCCTACCTGAACCCACCCCGCAGCTGCAAGAACCTATTTGTAAAGATCATGAAAGACAAGAAACGCTTGGGAAAAATAAGGAAAGCGCACTTCTGGTTTGAACATGGCTGAGTACATCCAAAACTTTCTCTTCTAAGAACTCATCTCTTTCCAAAACCAGCAGGAAAATAAGCACACAGATTGTATCTTCAAAGAAATTCATAAATATCCACAACCCCAATCCATAAACTAGATTGGATGGTTTCAAGAACAGTAGAGATCAAATAGAGTAACAAGAAGCAGAGAGAGGAACTCCATGACTGTAGAAGAATTAAATGAGTATACTGCTCTTAAAAAACAAAGGGTGAGTTAGGGAAGGCAATCAATAAAAAACAAAAAGCCCCGGTTTGCAGTAATGGGTGTGTGGTGCAAAGCATGGTACTGCAGTCTTCTGTGATCCTGACTGGACTCAAGAAGCAGAGAAAAGGCAAAAGTGAAGACTTACATTCACAGGCTATAGATAAAGAATAAGACTGGAGGCAAAAATTAGAAAAAAAATACGATTTTTTCCAACAGTTCTAGTTACCTGTCTGTATTCATTACAGACCAGTAAAAGATAAAATAATTTACCTCCAATTTTGAATCACAAGATAGGTTCCTGCTCGTCTGAAACATGTCTTAGCCTTGCGAGATATAGTGTCTTGTGAATATCTAGTTTGGCAAAAACTCACTTCACTTAAGGATTCAAACAAACCTGCATAGCATATAAACATGGATTCCACAAAGAAAAAGAGGTAAATAAACAAGAAAAACAGATAAAATTCACTTCATAAAGGAATGTTGACATTGAACAAAATTGCTAAAATAATATATTTTAAATATTTTCCCACAAAAAAAGTATGTGATAGTGATGGATTTGTTAGTTAGCTTGATTTGATCATTCCACAGTGGAAACATATATTAAAAAACCACATTGTACTCCATAAATACATAAAATTATTTGTCAATTAAAAATAAAATGAAGTGAATAATTTTACTAGTAAGAATCTCTTTGCTCATAAAGCTGTTGAGAAAAGCTTTGTTGACTAGAATATTCTCATGCTATATAACATTTCCTATAGCATGAGAAAGATATAAGAATCCCAATACTTTTTATGAAGTTAGCATATATCTGATGCTAAAATCTAAAAATTTTAGGAAGAAAAAAATCACTAGAGAACAACATTAGTTGTAAGTATAAAAACAAAATGCTAATATAGCTAACTACAGAAAATTTTAACAATTAGAATATTTTTAAAAATAACCCACCATTATTAACTTATAGCTCTTGTGAGAAATTAGGGATAATTTAATACATCAATGTATTTATATATATCAAATCAATTACTTAAAACATATTTTACAGATCACAATCCATTCTTAAAAAAAAAAAAAAAAAACTCACCCAGTTGTCGTTATCTAGGAATAGCAGGATACTAGAATATCCTTCCAAATGGAGAAAAACAAATTATCTTATGAAAGTCAGGCCCAAGAGAAGGATTCTCTCCATTACATCAATTTTTTATACCTGTCCTAGAATCACTAGCAAATTAATGTGAAGGAATAGAAAACAAAAGTTTATATGTTGGAAAGAGAGGAAAAGGCTATTTGTCTGCAGGAAGAGAGTTATTAAAACAGAAGTGGCAAGACGAAAATGCTTATTTCTTTGTATATCATCAGTATATATTGACGAAGACGACAAAAATACTTCAAAAACACATTTTAAAGGAAATTCTTATGATATAAGGTTATATGATTAAAGTAGGATGCAGAATTATAAAATATGATTTTATATTGACAAATGCACACACACACACACACACACACACGCCCCAAGACTAGAAGGAAATACTAAGCATTTATTAGTAGTTTGAGTAGTAATACAGGTGGTTTTTGTTTTCTTCCTTCTACTCTTCTCTACTTTCCAAATTATCTATAATTAATACTGAGGTATTCATCTCATAAGATGTACAAAAAGAATGTAAGTCATATAAAGCACATGTCACAGGCAGGATTTTAACCCAGGTAGTCTGACTCCAGAGGCTCTGCTCTTAACCACCACACATAACACCACCCTCAGTAACCCAAGGCATCTCAAGGATCATACAGTCATGCCCTTCTCCTTCAGATCTCTCTAAATCTATTTGTGACCCCTCTTAGGACTCAAAAAACCCCTCCCAGTCTCTACAGCTGTGCCCCTGTAGATCCCCAAGTCTTGCCTTGCAGGGGGCGGTAGCTCAAGTCCAAGCAAGTGCCTTGGGTGAGGGGGCATGGCCACGGTCACCTATCTGCCCTGATTTCCCTTATTTTGACTCATGTCATCAGATTGCAAATGCCGTGAGTTCCTACACCTCCACATTTGCATATGCAGTTTTCTCTAAATAGAATGTCCTTCCAGTGTCACATGGTTAAGCCTTGAAGACCCAGTTCCCATGCTACCTTCCCCAGAAACACTTGCCTGATCTATACTCATTTTAAAGTGATATTTATGCCATTGGCTTTCCCAGAAGAAATATTTTTTTTAAAACATGCAAGTCTTGGACAGAATGGTATGCTCCCCAGCAGCTACTGTCTAGACCTCAATCAGGAAGGAGCAAAGCTTATGGAAGATCTCCCAAATCCTGGGTTGTCCACCATCCAAGATGTCCAGTGGCTGATGGGATCACAACAGTGGTCACTGCTGAGGAGGCCCTTCTGGATAACCACTCTCGGGGCCTGTGTGAATCCCAGACCTCCTTCGCTATGCTGTGCCCCCTCCCTGCTCCAAAGCTCTAACACATTCTTCATGCACCAGGGCTGATCTCGAGGTTCTGATCAGGCTGTTCTGTAAGGAATGGGTTCTGGGTGAAGAAGTTGAACACTGAATCTCCTTCTACTCATCCTTAATAGAATCTGAAAACAGCCTGTAGTCTCAGCTACTCGGGAGGCTGAGGCAGAAGAATCTCTTGAACCCGGGAGGCAGAGGTTGCCATGAGCTGAGATTGTGCCACTGCACTCCAGCCTGGGAGACAGAGTGAGATGGAGAAAAAACCCCAAAACCTAAAATGCAATTAAAAAAAAAAAGAAAAAAGAAAAAAAAAATCAGAAACAAACTTCATCTAAAAAAGAGGGGATTGTAAAGGTCCCTGGCAAAGGAGCCTCAACTCCTGGGTTATAGTCCTCAGCTCTTCCCCTCTCAATATGCCGTCCAGAGCACGTCTCTTCTTTCAGCTTTTGAGACTTTGCCAACCACATGTGTAAAGCCAGGAGGTTTGGCCCACTGAGTGACAGCTGAAGTCCCTTCCTGGTTACCAGGGATCAGAGGGTGGGTTATGACCGAACTCACCTTGTTACGGCAGAGAGACCAGCCAGGTTTTCTGGAAAGGAACGCAGAGGGGATAAGAGGCCACACAAACTGTCACTGCCTCCAAAGGCAAGTCAGGAGCCATCTATAAAGCAAATGAGATAAAGACAGGCGGAGACCATCTCTGCCATGGGACTCTTTTACCACAGTCTTATCCTTTGGGAATCTCAAAATGAGTCCCAAGAAAGGGGACGGGAATGTGGGGAGAGGCACAGACGGGAAAATAATACACGCCATAATAAGCAGTGCAGGGCTGAAGCAGTGGCTTCGCTGCTCTGTGCTGATTGAGAATTTCTCCCATGTCATCATCTCCATCCCCCCTATTAATCTATAGGAATCACTAGGAAGGAAATGACAACTCCATTTAACAGATGGGGATATAGAGGAGCTGTCTGCTTTCCCAGAGTTACCCGGGAGCTAGAGGTGGGGCCAGCACTGAATGTGGGTCTCAGTATTGAGGGTTTTTTCTCTCCCAGATGCCAGGTCCAAACGGGACCTGGGGGCAGACACAGGCCAACTCCTAAGCCTGAAGATGAGGATGAAACATGCCTTGGATCTGGGGATGGGAAGAAATCAAAGAAAGGAGGAAAAAATGGAAAAAGCCCTTTGCAACTTCACTTCTTTTTTTTAACTTTTTTTTTTTTCTTTTAGACAGAGTTTCGCCCTGTCACCCAGGCTGGTGTGATCTGGGCTCACTGCAACCTCCACCTCTTGGGTTCAAGCGATTCTCCTGCCTCGGCCTCCTGAGTAGCTGGGATTACAGGCATGCACCCCTATGCCCAGCTAATTTTGTATTTTTAGTAGAGACAGGGTTTCTCCATGTTGGTCAGGGTGGTCTTGAACTCCCAACCTCAGGTGATCGACCTGCCTTGGCTTCCCAAAGTGCTGGGATTATAGGCATGAGCCCCTGCACCAGGCCTTAACTTTTAAGTTCAGGGGTATAAGTGCACATTTGTTATATAGGTAAACATGTGTTATGGGGGTTTGTTGTACAGATTATTTCATCACCGAGGTATGAAGCCGGGTATCCATTACTTATCTTCCCTGCTTCTCTCCCTCCTCCCATCCTCCACCTTCCAGTAGGCCCCACTGTGTGCTGTTCCCCTGTATGTGTCCACATGTTCTCGTCACTTAGCTCCCACTTCCACGTGAGAATATGCGGTATTTGGTTTTCCGTTCCTGTGTTAGTTTGCTAAGGATATTGGCCTCAAATTCTTAATGAATCCTCAGGAACAAAAAGCATTCCCACCCAGGGCCTTGTTAGTGACGGCCTCAGGGACTGTGTCTGGAGAGTTCCACAAGCATCAGGCAGAGATGGCAGAAGCATTGTGCTATGCTGGCAGGAGCCGGGCGGGCGACGGTAGGAGCTGCCCCCACCATGATTTTCTAGGCCAGGCCCTTAGAAGCTGAGAGTTTCCT